TGTATGTTTTTTGCCGGCGAGATCACTACACGCGCGCGCCCCGCACACTGGACTATGAGTCTGTACCACAATACCGAGTTGTATAAAAAGATTTGTTTTATGTGTATGTGTGCTTTTATACTACATGGTTGCCCATAGAAACCAGAAATAGGTATCAGATCTGGAATTGAGCATCTATGTGGGTGATGGGAAGTAAACCCTGCTCCTCTGAAAGAACAGCCAGCGCTCTTAACCACCAATACATAAACAAACAAAAAACAGCAGCTAAGGTGATGGCTCAGTGTGTAAAAAATACTACCAGACAAGCATGAACACCCAGCTTTGGTCCCTAGGACCCATCTAAAAAGCCAGGTGCAGGGGCCGGGAGACGGCTCCGTGGTTAAGAGCACTGGCTGCTCTTACAGACGACCCAGATTTAATTTCCAGCACCCATATGGCAACTCACAACCACTCCAACTTCCTCTTCTGGACTCTGAGGGCACCTGGATGGCAGTGCATATACGCTCGCAGATACATAATTAAAAACCTCGAAAGGCCGTAAGCATTGGTGTGCAGCTATGATCCCAGAACTCCTACAGCAAGGTGGAAGGAGGAGGAGCTAGGAGTCTGCTAGAATGCTGGCTGCCCAGTCACAGCACTCATGAAAATCAAGCAGACAGGGAGGGAAGGTTAAACATCTGCCCAACAAAACCACGTTAGGCACAGAACGGGATAATCTCAACAGTTGAGTTTGTCTCAAGATTTATATTTATATTGCCGGGAAAGATAACATTTGTGGAGCTGAAGAGATGGATCAGTGGTTAAGAGCACTGGCTGCTCTTCCAGAGGACCTGGGTTTGATTCTCAACACCCACACGACTATTCACAACTGTCTGTGACTCAAGTTCCAGGGCATCTGACACCCTCTCTGTCCTCAGAAGGCAGCAGGCACAGAAGCAAAGCACAGACACATAAAATAAAAATGAATACATCTTAAAATCAAGACACATTTGTGCCTGTGTCTAAGCACGAGAAGAGAAAGGAAACTGGGAACAGGCCACCGACAGAGACAAGACTGACAGCTTTCTTTCAGACCGCCCTCACGTGTGCTCGTGATTGACATGCGCAGATGTGTGCGCATGCCCAGAAGTGCATATTCGTAAAGGAGAGAAGCGGCTGATTGAGCTTGGCTGTGTAGGAGAGGGAAGGGGGTGCAGGAAAAATTTCAGGCCCCGCACAATAATTAGAACAGCAGTGTGCTAATTAAGACTCATAAATTGAATGAAACTATTAGCATTTTCTCTCAGAAGAAAAGGTAGGTTTTTTTTTCCCCAGGAAATGACACCTGTGAACAATTATCTCTCTTATTATTGCTACTAAGATTATTTACATAAGCTGTGCTCATTTAGAGCTCAATGATGTGCGGGTTTTCCAACACCTGATCTCACACTGGGCCTCCCTCCGTGGCTAGGGTACTATGGGAACTGGGAGTAATGGTCAGTGCAGCCATTTTGGGGAATCCCTGTGTCAGGTAGTCTGCTGTCTTTGTGAGCAGACCCCCAGTGAGGGGCTGGGGGCGTGGCTCAGTGGTAGAGCCCCTGCCTAGAATCCCCCAGTGAGGGGCTGGGGGCGTGGCTCAGTGGTAGAGCCCTGCCTAGGTTGTTTGTGCCCTGAGTTCCATCCCTAGAACTGTAAAAATTTAAAATCAATTACCATGACCTTTAAGGAGAAGTACCAGCTTGGAGGCTCATACTCTGTTACAGAAAACCTAGCCCAGGTTGGCTTACACCATCCATGCAGGTTTTGAGCTCATTGAAACTATAAGACCTTCAGATAACATTTAATCTATTGTTCCAGTTGATTAAATTCATACATTGGTCTCTCTTTTCTTCCTTTTTTTTTCCAGAGCATTTTCTTTTTGTTTGTTTGTTTGTTTGTTTGTTTGACACAGGGTCTCTCTGCGTAGTGCAGATTGGCTTGGAACTCATGACCCTTTATCCTCACCCTCCTGAGTGCTAGGACCCCAGGTGTGTTATCACAATATTCAGCTCGATTGATATGTTTGTGCCCAGTAGGTGTAGGGTTCTTGTCAGTGGACAGTGCAAATAATTTCCGTATTCTCGCTGAGTTTAATATCATATGCTTCTTAAGAATAGTACAAGGAAAGCCAGATGTTTAAAAGAGCGGAAGTGCTGAGGGAACATCTGATCCGGTGTCTGAGATGGTGCTTCAGGTAACGTTTGAGGTGACAATTGAAGCCCACCAAGTGACAAGGTGAGGGAAGAAGTTTCCAGGTAGACGGACATTGTCAACCCCCAGAGGAGGAAAAATAAATTGGCACCAGTGACTTGTGAATGAAGCAGGTGGGAAAGAGAGAGGGTAGTAAGCCACAGACGCCACACTGAGGCAGGACAAAAACATGGAGGAAGGGCAGATTTCTCGAGCCAGTTAGTGATGTCGACCTAACTCACTCTCCAGAACATACATCCTTGAATGCTACATTAGGAGTTTTCTTAAGCTGCTGTATTAAAGTGCAAGACTAAGAGACCTCAAGATTCAAGACTGTTGGTTGTGGTGGCACACACCTTTAATCCCACCAGAGGCAGAACCAGGTGGATCTGAGTGCCGAGCTGGTTCATCTATATAATAAACTCTAGGCCAGCCAGGACTATATGGGGAGACCCTGTCTCAGAAAACAAAACAAAAGCCCCTGTATGCTTACCAGCTACAAACAACAAAAACTGGAAACAGAGTCAGCCCCGGCGTGCACGCCTGTAATCCCAGCACTGAGGAGGCGAAGGTAGAAAGACTTAAGTTCCAAGCCAACCTGTGCAACATAGTGAGACCTACTTTCGAAATTCCAGCGGGCTCATTCCACTTGCTAAGCATACACAAAGCTTGGTTTCCAGGCCCAGCAGTTAAAAAACAAACAAACAAACAAACAAAAACCCTGTGTCTCATAGAACCCCAGTTAGTCTCCAGTAGCATCGGGAATTATGGCGTCAACCTTGTGCTGGTGTGTGCATGCCACTCAGACAAAGTCGCCTGTAGCCTTCAGTGTACTTACTAAATTTAGTACTTACTAAAATGCAGCAGTCGGGGTGGGGCCTCCAGGGATGCCTCATGGCTTAGAGGTGTTCAGAGGTTCCCCTCCACCCCAGAGGACCAGAGATAAGTTCCCAGCACCAACATTGGGAGCAGGCAGCCTGTCTGTCCAGCTCTAGGAATCTGGCGCCCTCTTCTGGCCTCAGCTGGCACCTGCACACACAAGGCAGACACATAACAATAAATCTTTTTTTTTTTTCAAGTAGCAATGAAAAACAATCATTTCCATGAGTCAAAAAGAAGAAACTTGTGCCATGGACCCACTTGTGAGTCTCAGACATGATTCATCTTGGATTCCACAAAGTTGGTGTCATATTTCCAGTAGTTGACTTCTTTGTCTTTTTGTTTTGTTTTGTTTTTCCAGACAGGGTTTCTCTGTGTAGCCCGGGCTGTCCTGGAACTCACTCTGTAGACCAGGCTGGCCTCGAACTCAGAAATCCGCCTGCCTCTGCCTCCCAAGTGCTGGGATTAAAGGCGCGCGCCACCACCACCCGGCTTCTTTGCCTTTTGATCTGATATGAGCAGACTTCTAACCACGTTCTCTCTGTGAAGACATGGCAGGAGCAAAGCCCAGGTCCTCATGAGTATGGACTTCTTTCTTCTTTAAACTTATTTTATTTCTACTTGTGTGTGTGCACACATATATATCTACAAATATGTGTACTAGGAATAATAATAATAAAAGCCATGGATTTCAGAGAGAGTAGGGAATTGGAGAGGGAGAGAAGGGGGGAGACGTGATGTGAACGTACTACTCGCGTATGAAGCTCTCAAAAAAAAATTTTAAATTAAAAAACGAGAAATGATGAAAGTTTGAAATAGCTGTGAAAACTAAGGAAGACTGCTCAAATGTGGCTGCAAAAATGTGGTACTAGATTGGGGGAGGGGGCCAATGGGCTCCTCCCAAAGAGAGGAGCAGAGCGAGAACAGGGACCGTGTTGCCTGACAAACGAGCTCACCCTTCCCGCTGCCTGTCAAAGAGGCTGAACTGCACTTTCCGAAGGACTGCATGCATATGAAAATTCCACTAAAAATATACAAGTCGCTCAAGCCGACAGCCTCTAAATATGCAACAGTGGCAGGAGTAATGACAGAATGTATTTATTTTTAAAAAATTATAAGACGTGAGAAGGCCCAGGAATGTGCATCCATCCCATAGGCTGAGAAAATGCAGGCAGTGGAGATGGCCTGTAAGATTGCCAAATGTCAAATTCAGCAAAGATGTCAAGACGGCCATTTAAAACTTGCTTAAAGAAGGAAAGGAAACCATTTTTCCCATCCGTCCCTAGGGCAAAGTAGTTGTGCCAGTTGGGTTTTGTCAAACTGATGCAAACCTAAATATAAGAGAAGAGGGGACCTCAATTGAGAAAATGCCTCTGTCAGATTGACCTGGAAGCAGACATGTAGGGCATTTCCATGATTGACGACTGGTCAGGTGCGGGGGGAAGGTCCAGCCCACTATGGGTGCTTTAAATTTTTAAGTGTGTTTGTGTGTGTGTGTGTGTTATCTAATCTATGTCTATGTATGTCTGTGTGTGAGTGCATGTACCTGTGGAGGCCAGAGAGGGTGCCAGATACTCACCCGCAGCTGGAATTACAGGTGATTGTAAACCACCAGATTTGAGTGTTGGAAACCCACCTTCAGTCCTCTGCAAGAAAAGAAGCCACTCTTAACCACTAA